TATTGCCCCTAATTAACATGAGCCAATACTTTTACAAGTAATTAAATCAGTTTAAAAATGTTGCACGACTCACCCATCTGTTTGAAGTAATGGCTAAATTGCAGCATAATACAAATTAAAATGTATACTTCCATAACCTGTACTTCCAAGTATATGCCAGCACTTGCAGTGTGTGCATGTATGTTCCTCTATTAAAAAATGTAATTTTAATTACATGCTGTATATATTCTTTATTCTGGCCCATTAGTTTTATCCCCATGTGTAGAGATGCTGAATCCAAGGAACAAGGCAGTAAATAATCCTGGCTTTTAATGACCAATTAAAGCAGCCTATCATCAACCTTGCCATCAGCCGAGTTTGTAATTCAAAGTACAGATATGCTGTAATTGTTAGAATAAAATAGTTCCCGGGAAGTACCAAGCCACTCTCGTTTGTACATAATAGCACTCTCCGGAGACAGCAGCACTTCATTTCGTAAGCCAACCAGCAACTGAAATTTAATAAAACTGGAAGCTAAATAGGTGTTTCCAAAGTGAGGGCGAGCTTAATACAAAGCCTCGGTGCACCTTGATGACTTCGTCCTGGATGATCAGGACTTTTCTGTGGCCTTTGAAGGAGGAATATTTGTCAAGTTCATTAACTAGGTACTTCAAAGGCAACGTGGGTATGTTGATGCCTACCGTCTGTAGTTACTCTAGCCCTGTAGACTTGCTATCTGCTCCAGATGATAGCAAAAGTAATTTTTTTAAAGTGTGATCATATAAGACAAATCATCCGGTCTGTTGAAACGAATCCAATAACCAAGTCGCTGATACCTCAAAAACAGGGATGGAGAGAAAAGTACTGCTGTGCTCAGCCTTCATGCAGATGCACCTGTAACACATTCAGTGCTGGAAGCCTGAAAGCAGTGAGGAAAGGGGAAGCAACACGGGGAGCAGGAGCAGATATAAAGATTAGGGCATTGAAATGGTGGATGAAAGTGCACTTGATTAAGTGGAAGTTAAACTGTGGTGGGAAGAAAAAAAAAAAAAGTGTTTTGAATTACAAGCTGCTTAAGGCTAACATGAGAAAAGATTAAAAAAAAAAAAAAGTGTGTGTGTGTATATATGTATGTGTATATATATACATATATATATATATGGAAAAAACTCATATGAAGCAAGTGTGTGATACCGAGACCTGTGCGATCTCACACAGGCTGTGCAGTGGTTGAGACAACACCAAAGAAGATATTTCTTTTCTTGAAAGAGCAGTTTTGTCCTCTGTATGTTATGTAGGACAGCTTGTCCTCTGAAACTCACCGATTTTACTTTGCCTGGCTTTGGACAAGGTAGGGCTATAAACCCTTCAGGTAGGGACCGTCTCTTCACAACCTTGCATTCTGTTCCTTGTGCCTGTTTTGGATGGGTACATCAGTTTGGTGAGGGGATGCTGTGCTATGGGAAAGTGCGAGGAGTGAAGGAAACGAGGGAAGTGAAGCAGGTAGAAGCGCAGAAGAGTGGGGTGAGGTTGAAGTGAGATTTGTGCAAATTGAGCAAGAGGAGGAAAGCCAAGGTCTCTGTCCTCTCTTACAGTAGAGGGTTTAAGTGGGGAATAGCAAACCTTGTGCGGCAGCTTTCCAGGGCTGGCTGGCTGGCAGGGGCAAGAGGGGAAGAGGAACACATTGCGGGCTGAGCCACCACCGTGGGTGGCTGGGACTTGGATGGGCAGGGCGGCTGGCCTGGCCTGGCCAGGGGGCACGTGGGTGTGGGAGGGGAGATCTTTGGTGTGGGAGCTATGCTGTGCTAGAGGCTGGTAGTATGCAGGGAAAAGGGAAGAGGTTTAGCACTGCTTTATGGGCTTGGGTGAGAGCCCAGAGGGGCCGCATCATGAGCTCTAAGTGCAGCATGATCTGAGGAATGGGAGGGGCACTAATGGCACTACGGGGTCACCAGCAAGGCCTGGTGCCAGCTTGAAAAAAAATCTACTTGACTCATTATTTCCTTTTCTGAACAGAAAAAAAAATAATCAAGGGGCAATAAAATTACCCTAAGCCAGAGATTGTTGGGATTCTTCCAGGTGAAAGAAGTTTAGCAAAGTTATCTTTGTGCCTCCATTTTCTCTCCAATGCAATAACTGCAAAAATAAAAACAGTTTAGGGAATGGAAAAAGAGAGATTGCAAGGAGCAGATAGGGCCCTGTGGGGCTCCTATTCTTGCTAGTAGTGTGCATTTTTTAGTGCTGCCAAGCAGGCTTTTTATGAGCAGAATATAACATGTTAGTGAAGTGGCAGAGAGCCAGGTGATGCAGATAACTCAGTGGAGAGCTCTCTCCTGTCAGGAGTTAAGTGTTATGCACCTCCTCTCATTGCACAGCTTACAAACCCATAGGTCTTGTGTTCTACTTTGTCTTCATAAGGAGTGGGTTTAATGGGAAATTGGAGAGGTTACTGCTTGATTTGTCTTCTTGCTTGCATTTGATGAGAGATGAAGTTTCTGGTGAGTAAAGCACCGTCTGGAATATGGTGTTTTTCCCCAGAAATCTTCCCCAGAAACTTTGGTGATATCCCAGTTGAGTTCACTTTGAATTGGAGTGAGACCTCAATTGGATAGAGAGAATCAAACCCAGCCCTTTTTTTTTTTTTTTTTTTTTTTTTTAAAAAAAAAGGCACAAATCCCTTTGAAACTGATTTGCATTGTGACTTGAGTCAAATCTGATTTGTTTCACACAGCTCAATCCAAATGTAACGTGCGGTACAGCAGCTAATGGAGCCCGGTGTTTTACTTCATTGTCTCTGAATATGTATGAGGTGAGCTCTGATGGATAATGGATAACTGTTGGAATGTCTCACAATTCAAGATTCTTTTTGAGGAGGATTTTTAATGAAGTTGAATAAATAATAAAAAGTTTTAGAACGTTTCAAAATGTCTTATCCCTTTCTCTTGCTACAGTTTGCAACCACTTTTCTCTTTAAGATGTTCCCGTAAATGTCTTATCGCGCATCAGCTCTTACCATATGAGCACGTTGCCCTCGGAGCCCAACGGCGGTGCATCAGGCTGGAAGAGTCGAGGTGCTGGCTGTGGTTTCTCTCACTTAAATGGCTGCTATCCTCATCGCCAAAGGAGGATGGATGTCACGCTAAATAGTTCTGTACTCTGGGCTTCCTAGCACGTCCCTAATGACGCTGTAGGAAGCTCTCTGCTTCCCCACTTTGTTGGCATAATAAGGCTTCTGAGTTGTTGCTCTCTCCCACAGTCTCTAAGTAAGGGATCACACTAGAAAATGGGCCGGAGTAAGGGAACCCCTAAAGGAAAAGGGGATGTTGGAATTGGAATTATCCATGGTAGTCTTGATTTAACTGCAGATGTTAGTAGGTATTACCTACAAACCCTCAAATTTGGGCTATTAGCTTGCCTCAAATAAATGTTGTCTGCATTACAAAGCCATTTCACATAATTCTGCACAGCTTGACATTAACACTGCCTTTCCAGAATAAATGTTCAAAGATAAATCTTGCATGAAGAATGAATCACCTCTTGCTCTCCTTAGCTCTTTCAGATGAGGCAGAGACATAATGTAGAGCAAGCTAACATGCAGACCTAGCCAGAAAAATGGACCTTTTTTTTTCTGCATTAGGCATGTCATCAGAGGAGAGGCTTGAGACAACTCTGTTTCTTCCATTTCATAAATTCCGATTTTTAACAAGAGAAAAGTAAGCAGGTGTTATTCACTAGAACATTTTGTGTCATATGGGTCTTCTTCTGTGGCACGTTGCTGTTTCAATTGGAAACCTTCAGCAGGTTTAAGATGGTTTTATTTAATATATTGTTTTCACTTAAGGCAGTGAAAATTTCTTTGGAAATCTATGACAATCAATTAAGTAAATGAGAAAATAGAATGCTTGTAATTAAGATAATCAAGCTACACGAAATCCACCCTACTAGAGCTAATATCTGTATATCTCCAAGCTGTATATTAATTAAACACCATGTAAGTGTTGCAATTAGACTTGGGTGGCTATGGTGAAAATGAGAGAAATCTGAAAATGATTGGAGGGTTTTTAATGCATGCAAAGTTGTTTTAAAGCAGCTTGTTATAATTTGTAAGGTGATGGTGTTGCTGCAGACATTTCTAGGATGCCTGACAAGTCTGTCACGGGCTTGAGCTGCTTCTGAAAAAGGTGACCCAAGGAGAAAAATACGCTTTGGTTTGCAAAAGGCTTGTTCTGCATCTTAGGTGGGTGGATTTGCTCCTCAGCTCCATGGGTGAGGTTGGGTTACTGAGCTCTGAAACCAGAGCTCAAGATGGTCAGGTACTGAGTCCCAGGCAGGAAACTGCAAAGGGGAGGGCAGAGGGAAAGGAGTTATTCCAGCTAGTTCTTGAAACAAAAGGGTCTCTGTCTTCTTATTATGGTTTTGTTCTCTTTGATAAAGACCCTAAGGTTACCCAGGCCTTCCTGCTGGAAAAATGGCATGTTAATATATTTGTGTTGGGAGCCTAGCCTGACTCACCACACTAGACTAACTCCATAATCTGTTTGTATTCAGGTTGTGCTTTCTCATTAATTTCCCTGCTGCTTTTCTGGGGCTTATGGAAGCAGGAGGCTGTGACCGTGTTGGCGTGTGGCTGGGAGAGGCCAGCGAGGACCCATTCCCTTTGTGCAGGTGTCCTTCTGGGGGTCATACAGCAACTTCAGAATGAGTTTATTGTGGTTTAACAATACAAGGGTTTGTGACGCTTGTGCTTCCCTGCCCCCATTCATGCGTGGCTTCAAGCCTAGGTATTGAGGTACCAAGAGGTACAGCAGCTGCAGGGCCAGTGGAGTCAAACAGCTCCTCCACCTCTGGGCTGCCAAACTTCACTTTGATGAGCTGGGCCTGCTGAGCAGATGATGAACTTACCTGCTAATTTGCTAGATGTTACTATTGCTGTCTTAACTCTTTGGAGCCAAACAAAGTAGTACACCTGATCAGTGTGGATATCTGCCTGATTAAGATTTTGCACAAATAATGAATAAAACTAATATTTTTGTTGTTTTTATTTTTTCCAATGATTTTTTTAAATCTGCTTTTACAGAACAATATTCTTTCTCATGACAAATGAACCTATTTATTTGTATCATGCTTTTGGATAATACCATTTATGTTTCTGGAGAGGAATGAAGAAGAAAACTGTACATGACACTTCCAATCTTTCTTTTGACTCTGTTCTTAATTTTTTTTATTATTTGACATTGATACAAAAAAATAGTATCTTGATTAGCAGCTTTGCTGGCAATCCCACAAAACTGTAAATAATACTTTAATCTAAAAGAATGCACTCCTACAGACACTAGAGATAAAACAATATATACAATTTAGACAAATAAATACATAAGTACAGCCAGTCATATATAATGATACACTTAAAGTTCGGTTACTGTTGACAAGCTTTTCTAGTTAATTACATTCTTCATTTACAAATTGCCATTGCCACCTATGTTATAAAGACAAAAAAAAAATCCCTACAATGAATCAAAACTGATACTCAACATTATTATTAGAAAAGATGGAAAATGAATCTTGAGACTTCTGTCTAAATACTGTCAGAGATTTAGCCAAGAAAGTGGAAAATTCCTCCAAAAGTGAGGAATAGATTCTTAGCTCAATATGCTCTGTTAATGTACGTTTTGAAATCAAAATAAGATTATACTCACACTTTTGGAGTGACTAGAAGCTGGAACATCTTAACCAAATTTTCATCTGCCCCATGCCCAGTGAAACAAAATGGCCTTTAAGTACTAAATACTTTTGATTAAAGGAAGCCCAATGCAAAACATTTTATTTAACAGTACCCAAGGTGCCACAAATACTTCTGAGTGGAAGGGACAGTGACTCCCATACTGCTATGAGTAGCTCTATTGCTCCCTTTCTAGCTCTAGGTTGCAATACTGCAGTTTATGAGCAAAGGGAAAGTAAATCTGTTTATACATATTTAACAATCTAGTGAAGTCTAATATCAGAAAATTAATAGAAGTAGAAAATTAGGCTCTTGTTTTCTTTTTAATTCACTTAACAATAAAAGAAAAAAACAAACTTGTACATTCAGAAGTTAGGGCACACATGCTTAAGGCTCTTGAAACACTGGACAAATATAATGCCTAACTCAGCTCCATGCACAACAGAATACTACACAGCAAGCAGACTCTATGCATATATACAGCTGAATACAGAAGAAAATGTCTTAGAAATATGTACATAAGTTCCAAGATGAACATTTACATTTCTGTTGAAGATCTATCTATTTATAAATGGCAGGAAATACATTTTTCAGATACTATTTTCAAGGTGTATCCTCTAATCATTAATGCAGTCTATTTATTACCAGGGGAGAAATTCAAGGCTGCTGTGCTACTTGAGCCCTGAGGTACTAGGACTTGAGAGCCCTGCTGTCCTCTGGGTTACTAACCAAAGGCCACAAAAGTGTCAGTGGGAGAAGAAAGACCACCAAGTCCATTTGGCTGTGGATTCAGAAACCCCAGATTACAGCACAGACAGATGGGGAAGTGATGGCAGCCTGTTGGCTGGAATTCTTACAAAGCGTGCCCTGGTCGGGCTGCGCCTGTGCTCTGTGACTTAAACGAGGGCTGGGGATGAATTCCACCCTAGTTTCCCTTCCTAAACTGCATATTCTGGGGCCTCGATAAGAAAAGCTGAATTTCATTCTCTGTGTATTATATACATATATTCATATGTGCAATTAGATGGACCTTGTTTTGCTGGAGTTCTGAGTTTGACAGGAAGCAAGAGCAACTTTAACAAGGACTAGATCAACTAGGGAAGGATAAATCTTAATATGCTGCAGGAGTTTCAGTATTTCTTTTTATAAAACTACTGATTTTCACGTACGAAGGATGCACAAGCTCCTGTTGATTAGCAGTAACTCCTGGGCTATGTATTGCGCATCTTCACCTTTAGATTTGAAGTACATCTCTGAGACATCTAATGCTTGTGGCTCAAGGGCCAGGTGCACTTCACCTTATTTACAAGTAGTTCCTTTCAAAACAGTTCTGCATGTGTGAATGGGACTAACACTTTGTCGTAAAACTGCAAAACTTTTGGGGTAGCATCTTCATTCATTTGTTATCATTACAAAGTACTATGTACACCTATGGCAAAATCAGTTCAGAGTTTTCCTTTAAATCCTTGTTCAGTTAATTTCTGACAACTGTATAGACATCCTGAATAAGGTACAGTCTTACCAGTTTTCACATTATGCATATCTCCAGCTGAAATGTATGAGATTTTTGTGCATGCTGTGGATGGTGTGAGTACTCTACAGCTAATACTACATTTGGTGAGTTTTATACCTGTGACTTGCCTGTGAATTCTTTGTTCCAAGTTATTTATTAAGCAACGTCACATTTTAGTTCTTTGTTGGAAGGTGATATCGAGTAGGGATGGCTCGAACCTATCAAAGAGTTTTCCAGGAAATAATTTTCATCACATTTCATCAACGTTCATATTCAAAACAAATAAGGACATTACAAAACTTGACTAAAATCTTGTGTATTTAATTTCTACCATATGCTCTGGGGATCTCTTGAGTTCTGGTTCTTTTTTGAGCTTGGCCTCTGAGTATTGGCTCTAATGGAGAGCTACAGATTTGTAACAAAGGCTTGAAGGTTGTTTGGTTTTTAATAAGTTATTCTTAAAAGTCTTCTTTTTTGCTATAAAAGTTGTACGTAACTGTTATGTACTCTGTAAGTTCTTCAGTTGACAGAAAATGGGTGGGATAAAATTCTGCTTGTCTAAACCACTATAAATATTGTATAATCTCATTCATATATTCACTATAGCAAAAAGTAGTTTACCCTTAAGAAATGTTCTTTTGTCTTTACTTTTGTTTATTTTATTTTTTTCGGGTACATAGTGTACGAACTGATGTTGAAGGAATATGATGCGTATCAATAATTATATATTGCTATATAAGATAATCATCTTTAAAAAACAAACAAACAAACAAAAGTCTGTGATAGTGTTATTGGACCCATTAAAGTATTCCTAAATAAGTAGAGATCCACATGCACTCATACTAATGAGAAATGTTGCATTTGCTTTAAAATTAAGGTGTTCATACTCATCACAGATATTTAAGATGTATTTTCATACATCTCTGCTGTTTTATATTTCATCTACAGATCCTATTTCATTTTAAAATTTGACTTGATATTTTAGGGGCTACTTTTGGCAGTAGAAAGAAGTGGGGCATTTTCTGAAATGATTTAAAGGGATGTGATTTGGGGGAATAAAAATATTCTTGTGTGTGTAGGTTTGTTTCTAAGGCCTATGAGACTTTGATGTTCTTACCTGTCTAAATTCTGCTACTGCGCCATCTGTAAGCTGTTTGGAGATTGCACACATTGTACTGTAAGACATAGATGCTAAGGTAGGTGTGTAAGATCAGTGCAAATATATACAGTTCAATTTATTAACAAAGCTCTGAGTAGGGATGATTGTAGGGTGTCAAAAAGGGATAAAAGTATATTTGTAATTCTTCATTTCTTGGGCCTGAGTCTTACCTCAGAGGCTGGGGCATGAACTGTTAAGCAGCTCATGATAGTTTATTACTGTCCGTTTCTGTACAGATGCAGGAGCTGATATGTGTGACAGAGGATAATATACAAAATCTGAGATTTGACTCTAGATCCTTTTGATTGGTGTAATGTCCTTATGAAAAGAGCCTGAAGTCTGTAAACCAGTAGTCAAAACGAGAATGAAAAATCAGTCATTAAAAATCCTCTCACAGTAATATCCCACAGTTTAACCTGTAAATCAGTACATCACTTTGTCAAAAAATAACCAGGCTAAAGCAATATTTAAAAAAGGTATTTACATCTGTAAAAATCTTAACATCTAAGATGCTTCTTGCTTGACATGTCATTCCAAATTCTGTGCATTTCTTCTGGTGTTATCTGGTGCACTGTGATCACCCTGCGGTACCTGCACAAGCTGTAGGCCATTTTCCAGTGGTTGAAGCCACTGTTTTGGAAGGGATGAATGCCCAGCTTCCGAAGACAGAGTCCAACATACACGTCTTCAAGATGGAGGAGTCTGGTATGAAGGGAGGTTTTGTAAATCAGTTCTGCTACATCAGCTGAAAAAATGTAGCCAGTGCCTGAACAGAAGGGTGGGTAATTGCTGTCGGGGTACAAATCTCTGGGCATGTACCACTTGCTGCGAACATCTCGTATTGGTCCTCCGTTTATAACGTAACCAGTGAAGTACCTTCTCCTCGGCTTGGTGTTGGGTTTGAGCAACTTATAAATAAGATTATCCATATTTACAAAAATATCACTGTCTGTCTTCATAACGTACTTAGCTTTTGAACAAAATGTTGCTACCCACCTCATCCCCATTAATGTTTTCAGAGTGAGGTTATGATAAGAGTCGATAAAATCCTCTACAATAATGTCATGAAAAATTTGGCTTTCTTGCTCTACCATTTGATTTAACACGGGATCTGCATTTTTTCCAAGAAGAAATAGCGTGGCGATTTTAATTCCTTTAAAGTTGTTTTCGTCTCCCCACGTTTCTCGAATTGCTTGCCTTGCATCAAATTCTTTGTGAGTTGTGCTGATAAGAATGACCAAGAAAGGGACGCTCTTCTCGCATTTATTAGGTTCATTGATAAGAAAGTCAAAGGAATGAGGATTTATAGGTCGAGTTCTTATGTTGCCAAAGGAAACGTTTTTCCTGGCTATTGATATGCTATTGAGCTGTCTGTGGCCAGTGTAGGAAGAAGTAGGACGAGTTATACTTAAGTACCAAAGAGCACTTGCCCAACAAACTACTGTCAAAACATACAAGCACGAGACCTTTGAAGCCATTGTTCCTGTAGCTCTTCTATTCGGCGTAATGAATAAACAGCCTTCTCACCATCAGTGCACCGATGTCCCAGACTGGCAGCATATTACCAATGGAACTGGAAAGTTCGATATAGAAGAGTAACTCTGTAATCATTCATGGATCTTGGGTAGCAGCTATTAACCCTGATGATACGCAGCTTTTCTTTTACTACCAGCAGCTTCCATTTCTTGGAATTCTCTGTTATTTCTGAAAAAGATGAAGAAAAATTTTCCATTGCAACATCATAAAAGCCTATGGCAATAAAAGTGAGCTGGCCATTAATAAGCCAAGTCCCTTAATGCATTTCTTGGATGTCCTTTTTATTTCTCATGAGGTACCACAGTGCAAGATAGTGTACTAGAACAAAGCAGTATAAGTGAAATAATGCTTTAAAGAATAATTTCTCATATATATATGATATATCTCATATTATATATACATATATAAAGATTGAAATTACTTGAAAAGCCAACATGCTATGCATGATTAAAAGTATATGAAAATCATTGTCTGGTTTCTAGCATTTTTGTGCATTTTGTTCTGGTTTCCTACTTTTTTTTTTTTTTTTTTTTTTTTTTTTCCCCCAAAAAATATGCCACCAAACATTTTGAAATTACTTAAAGAATGAAAAATAATGTACTTTATCTTAGGATTAATAGTATCAGTGGCAACGATGCACGTGAATATCTACAAATCCTATTTAGACTAAATGTTGGTAACGTCTGCCCAGCTAACGACAGCCTACTTTGGCAAGGAGAGAGAATTGTACTGATGGGCAAACGCACAGCAGACAATGGAGGAGAAAGGAGGATGCGTGTGCTGTCTTACCCATGTAAAAATCAGCACCCCAGTAGACTCCGTAAAACTCTAGAAGTATATTAACATGATTCAGTTAGTCCTGTTGGAAGTTATCCCTCCTCATCCCTTCCATGCAAACCAGGCTTCACTCTTCCTAGGAAGACATTGCTGGCATGCTGTACGGGGTAGGTCACGATTCCTAGGTTTTACTGTTATGTAGCTTCAGAGTTACAGGATAGTAGAAATTTGCAACAGATGAGTTACAGAAGTCTTTGAAATACTAAACATTTACTTTGGATAGTACAATGCATACGGGGATTCAGGTAAAATGATAGAAGCCCTCTCTTAGAAAGGTCCTTTCTGGTTCCATGCTACTGCAGCCTGGTTGGATTAAACCAAAATGCTGTTAGGAAGCCCATGCCTCCCATGTACTAGGTATTTATGGTCTCTTCCTCCTAAATAAAAGCAGATGAGAGCATGGCCTGGAGGTGCCTGGAGCAGGGTCCCCTGCCAGGCAATGGCTCACTTGGCTTTCAGACTGACAGCCCCAGCTGGGCAGGCTTTCAGGCTGTCATCCCGTGCCTCTATCCACACTGAGGTGTGAAAACGAGAGAAACAATCTAACATTTGAGAAATATATACATATAATCTCCCACGAAGGCTGATAGATACTTACGGCTGGCACTGTCCTGCCAGCCCTGCTCCTCATTAGATCCAAGGTCAGCTGTTTAATGACCGGAACCCACATGCCCCTCTCCCCTTTCCTCAAAATAGGAAAATGAATTTGTGGCTTGTTGCGGAGGTTTTTCGGTGTCAGTAGGTTTTGCCCTATAACCCAGGCAATTTAATGAGGCAGACATTATCTGTCATCTCCTTTGCTACTTGCCGCAGAACATGGGATTTGTGATCTTTTCCCATTAATCAGTAGTGTTAAACGTTTGGGAGCAGTATTTTTAAGTGAGGCTTTTAACTGTCCCGTTAGGCTGTGGAACACAATGACCTCAGCACCCACATATGCCCTCGTAAATAAACATAGCCATGACAAATATATACACAAATGCCACTTTAATGCTTGGAGAGCAACTGTGTCCTGTTGCAGCAACCCACTGGATGCACTGGGACACAGTTCTGAGAAAGGCAAAGCACACCCTTGATCTGCAGCTTTTTTCTGGCTTCATTGTGAATCTCTGACAACCATCCACACTGGAAACCTCACTGGGGAAAATGACCAAGTGTGAAATGCCGCAACATAACAAAAAGAGAGCAATTAGTTTAATATCTAGAAGGCTGTGTTAATTAAGAAATTCAGCCACCATGGATTTGAGATATGGAGTGTGGGCTTTGTGGGTCAATGCATTTAAAGGACTCAAGTATTTGTGAAACCTTAATGCTGCTAATATTCTGCATATGGTACGTTATTTTAGGAAACCATATATTGCATTCTCTAAATGTGTATATTTTTCAGAATCTCTTCTCTAATAAAGGCAGCTGCATTCATTACCATGAGTACTGTGCAGGTAACTGAGGGAAATGGAGACTGTAGCCAGTGTATCTTACACACTGCAAAATTATATAAAATAGCTTTTTAGTCCTGTAATGTCATGGCTGTGATGTCCAATCTGTGCTGTGAAAAGATTAGAGGTAACAAAAGTCTTAGAACATTTCAATGAAAGATTTCAAGCTATTCTAGGGAAAGTTCCTGGTCAATTATGAGATCTACAGATACCAGTTGTCCAGAATGAACATTTCTTATGCTGGTCCTTGGACTTCTGTCTCTTGAAACAAATCTGATTGCCATGCTATTAGTGAGAGAAGTCTCAAGCTTTGCTATGGTAGATGATTGTGAAAAGCAAGTGTTTAGCATCATGTTTCCACCCTGTGACTCGAAGTCGTGTGCTTAATTTTGCTATTCACAGCTCTTGCTGTGCAAGCCAGAGGAGTCATCCGGCTGCAGCCCAGAAGCAGCACTGTGTAACTTCTGTAAGTAATTGTCCTGATAGAGACTGCAACTATTCGCAGCAAACCTTTTACAAGCTGACTGCACATGGAGAATAATCCTCTAGCTAATGAGCACATTTGAGAATCTTGCTAACTGTTCACGGGTAATTTTCAGGCAGACGTAAAAGGAGTTCAGCAAATGCCACTCACCAGCTGCAGGACTGTGCCCATGTGTCAGAACACGGCCATTTCTGCTCAGAGGTTGCTGGTCTTTTCTCTTTCAAGAATGCCCAGGTCAGTCATTGTATGTAAGCATGACTGGATTAACATAACCAGATTGTGGTGGAGGAGTATGACAGAAACCACAGTTCTTCAGGCCCGGCATGTTGCTGTAGCTGTGATCCATACCGTATCGCGAGCTGCTACTGAGGCAGAAGATAGGTGCTGAGGGAGGCAGTCAGGATGCTGAGCTGTGGGCAGACCCCGGGTGCAAAGCCCAGGGAGGCGGCAGCTGCTCGTCCTGGCACCCGCGAGCCTGCCAGGCAGAGCACGACCGAGTCAAATTAACACTGTGCATCTCTGCCAAAATGGACCTATTACTTTCCTTGAAAAAAAAGGAGGGAATGCAGCCGCTACATTATTTAGTAAATGTAGCAAACTCTCCTCATTTTCCCTGAAGAGAGATTTTTGTAAGTTTTCTATAATCATGGCTTTCATCTGTATATAGACCAAGACACTGAAATGTCTTCACCATTTATGAAATCCTTAAATTACCTAAGGAAAAGTCTGTGATTATTGTTGAGTCTTGTTGAGAAGATAATTACCCTGAACATTAAGAACACATCTACAAAGGAATCTGGGGACACCGTTATGATCTTGGCTGTATGTTTTTGTAGTAATTTCTTGAGGAAATTCTGGACAGATGGCATAGGTGATTTAGCAGGAGATTGCGAGCTCTTCTCTAGCAACTTCATTTGAAGGTTTCTCAAATACTCCAAATCCTTTTGCTGTGCCCTAGTGAAATGGGCCTGAAACTAAATCAAAGCTGCAGAGGAAGACCTTTCTAGAATATATGTGGAAAGGGACTGTAATAAAAGTAGAAGCCAAAGTCTCTGCCTGGGGGAGGAAAGTGCAAGCGTTCATTTCAGGTCCACGTTTTTTAGGAAAATCAATGCTTCCACTTTGGGAGGTCCCAGCTGTCATATGCTAAAAGAAGGCTCACTTCCCTTCTGTGCCTTCAAGCATTTTCTGAAAATCAGGCCATGTTTTAATATACGCCATTTGTACATGGAGAATCGTTCCTTGCTCACAGAAACATTGATGATGGACTTTGCCCAGGGCAGAAACTGAATGTAAGAGCAAGTATTTGCACGAGTGATCCTTTCATGCTAACAGTTCTCTTTGCATGAATGCTGATTTGCAAAAGTTTTATGCTGTGTTCCAACACTGAGAGGAAGAATTGATCTCTGGAAATAAGTTTGGGATTTATAAATTATTTTTCAACATTTACTAAGTATTCTTAATACCAGTGAAAAGTAAGAAAGACTGGGGATTAGGGAATTTTATGAAAAGGTTCTAAATCTTAGATAGAAAAATGCAAGTTCTGGTTAAAATTTGCAGCAAATGTTCCCATGCTACTGAAACTTCCCCAAACTTTGAAGAACTATTGCTGTCTTTTACCAGTTGTAGGTTATTCAAACTGAAAATGAGTCCACTTATGGGTGACTACTCTGTATTTTCAACTTTATATGTTTTCAGTGAAAACGTGAAAATGTCTATAAAAATAAGATTTTTTTTCTTTTTTTTTTTTTTTTTTTCCTAAGGACAGCTGAGACAGCTTACGTAAGACAATTAAACTATATTTGCTTTGCTTTGCATTTCTCGTTCTTAAGAAAGAATTATCCACCTATTTTTTCAAAATCGAATAACTTACAAGTTAGAAAATTAACCGTTTCCACCATGACTAAGCTGTGAATGTAGTTTTGAATCACAGAAGATCAAACTGTTGGAAGAAATATTTAGGAATATTTGGATCCACACCAACATCAGACCTGCCATGACTGAGGGGACTGGGACAAGTTATTGGTTAGGAAACCTGAGCTTGGCATAAGAGATGATTTCTTGGCTGGTGATGTCCTTAGGTGGAAAGTCAGTGTTGATTTGAGCAGCCTTTTGCTCTGGCTTGGATGGTACCTCAGGAGATTTGAAGCTATAACATCCCATCCAAGTTTTGCAGCTTTGAGCAGGGAGAGGCTTGAGAGCTACTAGGTCATTCCCAGACCTTTTGGTGACTTTGATAGGCAGAGAGAGCTCCTCTGAGAGTTAGGTGATGGTAATCAGCCTCAGCATGACTTGGGAGCAGCTGTCCTCTCTCGGGGTGATGAGAAAAGCCTGCACCAGGTGTGGCTGTGGGGGGTTCTGTACCTGCATTTTCTTACTGATAAACTTGACTGGATAAAACCGGCCTTGGAGAACCCCCAGTGCTGGTGGTGGAGGAGGAAGTAGTGATAGATAGAGATTCAGGCTCGCTCAGAGAGCGAGATTCAGACACAGACTGTCTGGGTTTGGGTATTTCATGTGAGCAAAATGTTCACAGTTGGTTTGCTAAACAGAAGAAAATTATCGTTTCTTAAAAGTGTTGTAGGAAATGCAAGTATTTTTTTAATCTTGTTTGACATGTCTCAACATTACATTTTCAGTAACCCTGTTGCTGTTTCGTGGTTCTTATTTTTTGTTAAACATCTCTCTTAACCACAGTCATCGTGTGTTTGTGACAGCGTAGGCCCCCACGTCTCCAGCTGTGGTATCGCACAGCTGACCCGTGCTCTAGGAGATAAAAGGGCAGGCCCCACCCTGGGGACCAGTGGTAGGGTGGGTGGGTTTCTGAATTTTAGCAAACTTGGTTATGTTTGGTCAGATATTAATGTAGATGCTTAACAGCTAGATTTTACTGAATTTAAAATAATATTAGAATTGGGAATGTACTGATTAGTAGGCATTTTAGGCAAATATTCTTATCACTAGCTAAAGGGAGAGAAAAGAAATAAATAGCTTGAATGGAAATAGCAGAACGATTTTACAGTCTTTCTTCTTTTTTGCTTCTTATTTTCTTTTTTTTTTTTTTAAGTTGCCCAGGAGATGTCAAGTGTCATGCACTTTTTTCCCATGAATGCTTTTCAGAAACAATTTTGAAAAACACTTTGTGACTTCATGTTGTGATAGGTCATTTGTGATTACATCAATCATGTCCTGTTACAGCAGTAACGTGTAAATTGCATCCCAGTATGGTTATAAACCGATGCAAATAACATATTTCATTTTGGGTTACCATAGCCACAACCATCATTTTCTTTAGCTATTGTGCTGTGCTCTATTGTGAAATCTCACAGCAAGGTTCCTTAGCTCATGTCACCACCAAATCAGTTACAATATTTTTCATCTAATGGAAGTTTAGGATGAAAAATAGGACTTTGAATTTTTTTCTTTTTCTTCCCCCCTCTGAAGGGGAAAGCCTTTAGAGAACAGCTTTAACAAAATATCTATTAGTCATGAAACAATTTTACATAATTCATTACCAAAGTCAATAGGTTAAATTACATTCAGGTAATGTGTTTGAAATCAAATATACTGCTGTTCATGTCTTAACCTTCTTAAATTTCACTATTTCATTTCCTTAGTTTTCACAGTGATGTCTGTGATGTGGTGGTTTGCATTATGACACTAAGAACAGATGACAATGGCTGTGATTATATAGGTGCCTACCACAGCAGTACAGCCATTCTTAATTAATCTTTGTGACAAACAGGAGGAGTAACAATTAGGTGAAAACTGGAACACCTGAAATCACACTTACAAGGTCTGTGGTGATGGTAACTCATTGAACTGGATAATGAATCTGTTTCTCATAGCTCTTGTCCTATCCGGAGAGCATTGGAGGAAAAATACAAATTGCAACTTTTGGATTTACTGGGAAAAGTTCTAAAAGGGTTTTGAACCTGCTCATTCAGGTATCTGCTGTGATGCATAGGAACTTTGCTTTTTAACCTAATCAAAACTGGGAACAGCTCAGGCTCCAAACATTGGTTATTGCTATATATAAATCTGTATTTATAATCTCGGAGTGTAGCTATTATTGATAGACATTTACTGAAGGGATTCTTCCCTATCTCAGTTGTATATGTACAGTGACTATATTTGTTGTAACAAATTGGGAAGAGAGACAAATCTTGTAATCTGAAGCTATTCCTGGACTTATTTTTTAGGAGGACATTGATTTCTGGAGACTACACACATTATTTCAGTATTTATCTTGAAGATATTAAAAGGTATAACGTGAGTGTAAGTATGTCTCTTCCAAGTGATACATAGGGGGCATGTTCCATCTGTACTAAGGCCAGAGTTTCGATGGGCATGTCCAGGCCTCAGTGCAAAGCCTTAGTGGACAAACTCTGCAAGTGGTAGATTCAAAAATCATATGTTCTTCTTCAAGAAAGATGCCTTATAGCTGTTTCATCGTCTTGGGATTGGTGCAGTCTATGAGATGGTCGTTTTCTTGTCCCAGAAAGGGAGCAAAGTGTATTCCTAAACCCAAAAATATGGTTGCTCAAAATCAGAGGTATTTTTAAAGGCTAAAAAATTGCTTAAATTCACTTAATTTCTCATTTTTTCCACAACAATGAGACTAGAAACTTTTTGCAAAAAGTGAGTTTGGGTGATTGCAAAATAGCTAGCTACAGCTTTTTATTGTATAAGATGTCCAAGGACATTGTTGGATGTGGTGACACTGTGGCTGTGGCCATGTGGGCACTTATTTTCTTTTCTCTAGAAATATTTGTTGTGTCAAGAAGGTCCCAGAGTTTTTTATACATCAGGCTTGACTGTGCGGAGCCAGGAGTTGGACTCACTGGTCCTTGTGGGTCCCTTCCAACTCGGGAGATTCTATGATTGTATGATTGAAGCTTCTAATTCCCTTGGTGAAGTAGCTGTGATCCATTTAAGGCAAGATCTTTCTTTCAAAATCCCACCTGCCAGTCTCTCACAGAGCTGTAACATAAACAGTAAATATATAAACTAAGGAGTTTTGTCACCGACCTGGAAAAGATGGGGCATACTTCAGCTAGATGACTAATTCTCCAATACATGAAAAATATTTCCTCGACATACACTCTTTGGGGGTGTGGTGATTGGTTAGTGATGGCTGAGATTCCCCAGTTTTTGGAGCACTTTCCCAGGCACAGCTTTCTGTCCCCAGGGCACTGCCCTGCTCCCTTCCCACCTGCAGCGCTGAGGGCTGGCTGTGCCTGCTGGACAGATGCAAATTACTTGGCAGAGAAGGCACAGGGAAAAGTGTGGTTTGCCTCCTCTTTCCATTGGGGGAATGGCATTTTGCTGGCTTGGCCATGAGTGCGTGGAGGGGTGATTTGCTGTGCACCCACCACTGGGGCAGGAGCTCTCTGGCCTGCCTGGGGCAGCTCAGTCCAGCTGAGGCCAGCACCCACCGCTGCTGCCTGTATCTGCCTGCATGTAGAAGGAGACTGGAAGTATGTTTCTTTTCAGTCATAACTAAATGGCAGATGGGGTTTGGTCAAACTTAAAAAATAAATGCAATAAATGAAAAACTGCTTTTACTGGGAATTGAACTGAGCTGCAAAAGAGTGTTTTCGCCAAACTACTAACATTTGAGAGGAAGGTAGTGTCAGGCTCTTTCAACCAGCACATATGGAGCATTTAACAGATGTGACCCCAGTCAATTTGTCAGTATTTAGGTTCCAGAAGCTTACTGCTGAAAGGACCATTATATGACTTTATACTTGCACATTTACAGAACATTCACTCAGCACAAGAGGCTGTCTCTTGTGGCAAGGATTTAAAAATGGGCTCTTAGTAACTGAAGATTTTTGGGTAAATCAAATGAAGGAGTTGATGTTGAAGTAAATGGGTAAATACATATCCTTGTGAATCCAAAAGAGTAAACTTGTCCTCGCTTGCCCAAGATGTTTCAAAAGATCAAGAAATTGTGTCTCCAAGTGAGAGGAGTTTGACAATACTGCTGGGGATCATAAGTGAGTTGCTGCCTCCTCAGCTAAACTGCAAATCCATCCTGGGGTATCAGTGATGCTTATAGCTTACATAGATGCTCACATAGTCATCCTCTTCCCCCAAAGACTGTCTTTTTTTCTTCCATTTCATTCCTGCTGTGAAAGTTGCAAACACTGTCCATTAGTCTCAGTGAAAGAAACTCAGGTGTCTCTGGAGAAAGCAGCCAGTCAACAGCTCTTCTGTTTGTGATCAGATCAGAGTTTAACCTGAGGCCTGTGAGAGTTGTTGTAGGCAAAAATTGAGGAAGTTTTCTCACAAACTGTTATTGGGGAACATTTTGTGAGAATTTCTCAGTTAATAACTCTGCCTCCTGGCTGGATGGAATGTGGCTGATCATCTGGGGTGTCTAATAAGGCTGCTGGAAGACCTGTATTCTGGAAAAGAGTACATCTGAAACCCTATTTCAACTCACTTTTATCACTTATGTCATTAGAGATGTTATTCATATACACTGTCAAAGTTTTCACCGGGGAGCATAAATTTCAAATCCCGAAGACCAGCATGAGTAGTCAGCAATACTAGCTCTGGTTTCTTACATCTTTTGTCTGTGAGTCTTCCTAATTAGGGGTATTTGCCAGGACTGGTAACTAGGAAAATAGCCGAGCAGTTTTTCCTAATGTGAGTGCATGTATATTTGTCTTTCTTTCCCTAAGTGTAGCAGGGCCCATTTCTGGGGGCTCATTATGCTGCCAGCACACCTTGCCTTATTTTTTTCGTCTTGTGACTATGGAAGTGTAACCATTGCAATTGCGACTCAGGATAATTGGAGACTCTCCAGTTGGCTTCTCTACCTGTAACCACGTGGTCCCTAGTGGGCTGATATAGGTGTAAATGGAGACTCATCGTCTATATTGAAGGATTTCTCAAAACATATGCAAAGCAGCCTTATATGAAGTGCCTCAAGCACATTCAGAGTTGAAAAAGCAGGGAAAGCAGTCTTCTTCCTCGCAGCTTGACGCTTACCTAGACTCCACTGTGGTGTGGGTAAAGCCTGTGGTTACGGTGCTGCCCCAGAGATCCCACAGCAGCGTGTGTGCAGCATCGCTCAGGGCCCTGCTGTGGTGCGTTGCACCAGCGGTGTCCCTAGCCCAGGGGATGGGTGCCTGCCTTCATGTCCATGCAGCTCAGCAGACTCAATTCTCTTTCTACGGTGTGTTTTTCTTTGGGATGTGTTGGCTTCTGCTTCAGTACAAATGTATTGCACTACTGATAGAAATCAACTCTGTGAAGCAATAAATAGGAAATATGTTCTGTCACTGTGCCCAAGGGGAACCATATCATACCTTAGTTACCTGCGTATTGAAGGCCAGGCCTTAAGGAGAAAGAAGGTACATGGACACAGTGTAAAGATAAAGATTGCTTCTCTTAGTTCTCCATCTATGAACCTTCTAGAGCTTTACAAACACAAGCTCACTGAGAAGCTGTATACCCCAAGGAGGCAGGTAACACAGTAATAAAATCTGCCAAGCAAGTTTAGGGTCCAAAATCTTGATATACACCTCAGGGTTGTAAGAAAATAGAGCTGTTTCACAGAGAGACGTTCTGCTGGGACACTCTTTCTTATAGAAGCAGCATAAAGAAGCAGATATAGAATATAGAAGCAATATAGAAGCAGATTAAACCTTCCTTTTGTTCATTTTCCAAACTTTGGGGGTTTGGGTCTTAGAGTGGAATCAGAAGACATTGCTATATGAACAACATGACCTCAGACCTTCTCTGGAGATAGGTGTTTGTTTCGTATCATCACTAGAAACAGGGATTCTCCTGAGCATGTTTGAACTCTGTACAGGTCTCCCTCAACGTCTCAAATGCTTCCTTTGCTTTTGGCAGTCTCCTCTAAGCATTACTTTAATCTGAGATATCTCTTGAACAAAAGAGATTTTAAAGCACTCTGTAATCTGTGGTTTGATTTATTTTCTAGCTATTCTGATACCAAAGGCAGCATGAAGCAAAAATGATATGAAATGTAATAAAGCAGCTGTTGGGCCAACTGCTGTGGGATCACTTGGGCCAGGGGAGAGACGCAGCTTTGCTGTGTGACCAAACGCTTCTTGGGGAGTCTATCAGAAGACACAGCCAGTGATCCTCTGGTGCTTTATTTCTGTCTAGTGAGCGGGAAGGTGCACACTGATGCACTCTGCTCATACTGAAAAAGCCAGGGATCACGAGGATGTGATGCAAACCTCAGTACCCCTTTGCCCTGCTGTGAGGGAGAAAAGAACTGGTTTCCTGGCGCTCTCCCTCAGAGATGGGTAAGGGCTGCAGGAGAGGCAGGGGATATCTGCCCGACCCATGCCTGGGTACATGCTGTGAAGCCCCCCATGCAGTGTGGCTCAAGGTGAGGGAAAGGCAGACAACCTCAGTACACACAACTTCACATGATTCTCTAGAAGCATTTCTTGCTACCACTGCAATGAAGAGTAATGCCCCACAGCAAAAGTAAAAGTAAATAATTTCTTGATATTTTCTCTTGATTATGTGGTAACAACACACATAGTCAAAGAGCTGCCCAAGACTTTCTAAAGAGAGCTTCAATTTTTTTATCATTCCTTCACACTCTAAGAAAAGCTCTCTCTTTCTCTGTCATTTTCTTTGAACAAATTAATTTGCCAGCCTGTATAGCTCAGTGTGCACATACTTTGCAGAGATGTTGCCATCTGCCATTTAGTTTCTTTTCTAAGCTGCGATCTTAGACATACATTTCAGGGAAAAGGAAGCCAAGTGGTTGAGTTTATTTTCCCTTTGTGTGAACAACAATGGGAATAATTCCAAAGCCAGGCAGCAAGGCTGCCTTAAATGCCAACTGCAAGTCACCTTTTCAATGAGGCATTAATTCATTCTGTGAAAAACACACATGAATTTGGGAAAATAATTCCATACCCACTCTTCCCCTCATGCACTGGCTGGATCAAATAAAGGTCAAATATCTTTCCAAGATGATCTGCTTTTTTTAATTATTTTTATTTTTATTTCTTTAACTTTTCTTAACCCCTATTCCTGATTGTCTTCCCTCTCTCTCTACCCCTTGCCACACCTACCTCCTGCAGAAAAGGGGTTTAATTTGTTCATTCACATATGACAACATAGATATTTACAAGAGTGCTGTCTAAAGTTTATACCCTCCTTATTATTTTTGTCCAGGTTAAAGCTTGGCTGCACAAATTTGCTGATGGAAGAGTTGTGGAGCAGCTGCAAGGGGTCAGAGGGTGTTGTGGGTTGCATGGCAGGGCCAGGCTGTCCACCCTCGGGACGTGGGGTAGCTCACACTGCCCATGGGGACATCCTGCACCTTGGCTGGGCCACGGCCCTCTGGCAGCCAAGCCATGGCACTCCAATGGCCAGGCCGTGGCCCTCTAGCAGTTGGGCAATGGCCCTCTGACGGCCAGGTCATGGCCCTCCTGTGGGCAGGCCACAACCCTGCAGCAGCCAGGCCAAGGCCTTCTGGCAGCCTGGCCACAGCCCTTCAGGGAACAGGCACCTCTTGGTGATGGGGGGAAGTGACAGTCCTCATGTGTGGGCAGGGGCAGTGAGGGGACAGGATTGCTTTGCTTCTTCTCAGCTGTAAGTGAAGAGAGAAACCTCCTCTCTTTGGAGAAGGGTGCTTCAGTGGCTGAGTGCTGCATTAGAGCAAGCTGGGATATGGTTCTTTTTGTCTGCACCTGGGAAATTAGAGCCACCGTTTGTGTGTGTAAGCCATCACTGCCACAGAAACATCCACGTTAACAGTCAATGATTATTTTTAGTCAGATCTATTCCCCAGTCAGATTTGCCTCCCAGCTGTGCAAAAGCCTGGATCAACACAGCTAAGGGACTGAAGCAAGAGGCCGGGGCAAAGCAGGGCAGATCCCTTTTTTATGGCCTCACTCCTGCCTTAAATGATTGTGAGAGGGCTGAGCGATCCCCTTTTTGTATGTGAGACTATAGCAGTATCCCCAAGGTTTCTTTCCACCAGAATAAGACCATACAAATAGCTCCTCTGGTCTTGCATCAGTTGAAAACAAATAATGAAACAAAAAGCCTTTGCTTGCCTTTTAAATATTTAGGTTTAACTTTCAGAGATGGCTGGGATGTTTTGGAAATCAATTCAAGTATTTGAGATTTAAAAAACAAACAAACAAACAAAAAAAAACCAACAAACAAAAACACATCCTTTTTTGATTTTTTTTTAAAAATTTGTTTTCACAATATCTAATGATTCCTTATATCCCTTGACTCTCCTGAGATCAATTCAGAACTTAAACATAATTGGATTTTAAAAGGAAACCTGTTCATGCATATAGCAGTTTTAAAGGGCATGAATAGTACAGTGTTTGAGAATGTGCCGCTACTTGAAAGATCGATGTGATATTCTGATTTTGTTGTAAAATGAAAACACGGTGAGGGGCTGTCACAAGCTTCTGAATCAGCCAGATTCTTTTTAGAAGCAGAAGACAGCTCTTGGCTCAGGTAGGCAATTCTCCCACACGTGCCTTTGCCAAAACAGAATGTGTATGTCAGGGCTTTTTTGCCGTTGTTTTTTCCTCCAGATGGTGTAACGAGGGATAGACTGCTCGTCACTTGCCAAGGGTTATATAATATTGTGGCAAAATGAAATCCCAAGGCACAGTTTTGAAGATAGCATATCAATCACTCTCATCAGGTCCTTGCACTTCTCGCTCGTAGGGTCAAGCCTCTGTCATCAGGCCAACTGTATTAACAAGCTCCATCCAAATGTTTTGAGAGTGATGAAATTTGGTATGTTTTCACTCCAAATATTGGTCAAAGTGTCCACCATTAGGATGGTAAGAGCCAATATGCAGCTGATCCTTTTTAGTTCTGTACCTCAAAGCTGTCACTACATTCCTGAGGTCGGCTTTGGTTTGGCTTTGGATTTGCCTATGATTTTTCTCTAGTGTACAATTTACTTCCGTGGTTGCAATTAAGTCATTTATTACCTTTTGAAAAACCATTTTGGCTTTGAGATTTCCCAGGAAACTAGAAAATAACTTCCTGCATCTAAATGAAGGTATATAATAAATAGTGATAAAAGTGAGGTAGGATAGATCACCAGATTTTCTAATTAGAGAGTGAGTAGTTTTTCACTGGATTCTTGAGTCTTCTTCCTGTTGACACTTGTCTTCAAACTAAACTTGGTATATACTGCACCTTCTCTTGTAACAAAATGGCAGAATGATTCGCCTTCTCATTCTGAGGTTTTGGAGAATGATTAAACACATCTATGGAAAAAAGTTATTCCCTAGGAGTGGCATATACACCCAATGTATTCACTGTTATCTAAAAAGCTTCCAGTATGAAGAGGTTCAGAGGTAAATAATGATGATGATGATAATAATAATAATAATAATAATAATAATAATAATAATAATAATGTTGGCTCAGGTCAATCATCTCACTCATCTTCCAGCTTTAACTTGTTCAACATAAACACATTTTGTTGCAGGGACTAGCCAGACACAATGGTGGTGACTTGAAATTAGTGTACTGAATTTATGACAATAAAAGCAATTTTAGGATGGTGATAGTGTCTTTTTAATAGACTACTACAAATGTCCTTGCCATGTAGAAGGACAGAGCAGGATGTTCAAAATCATATAATATTTTTTAGATATTTCAAAATGACAACTTGTATGGAAAACACATGTAAGAATATTACTTTGCCATGAGCAAAAAAATGGCAAACATCCTCCAAAACAACAAGAACTGTTTTTTAGAGTGTCTAACAATCTAAATGACAGTAGGCTTACTAATTTAGGATGTCTGGAAGGAGCAGAGATGAGCTTTCCAACATCTCAGTGATATGAGAACAGACAAAATATACAAACATTTTTTAGGTTCCCTATATGCTGTTTTAGGACCACCAAAAGGATTTTCTGCCTCAGACAACACCAAATTATTATCTTTGCTGGCAGGAAACAACCTGTAAATTATGGCTCTATCTGACACATATGGAAGAAAAGCCATCAGATTGTATCATATGTGAAAAATGATTTCTCAGTTGCCTTGGTCAAGTAACTAAAAGTTTAGACATATCATCTTTTAATTTGAGGAATGATGAAACCAGCGGTGACAGGAACAAAACTGCAAGTTTCTAAAAGCGGATATATTGAATTGAAAGGTAGGTCATTTGTCAGCCACCCCTGTAGATAAAATAAAAAGGAAGACAAAAAAGTTTGCTTTTGATCACAAAGCTGGAGACTGCAGCACAAGATTTTGTATTCTAAGACATCTACCCTCTCCCTGTACACCTCTGGAGACACCAAAGAAAGTCTTAAAATTTCAGCACACTCCAGCAGTTCAAGTTCTGGAGGGAGAGAGAGACTGCAGAGAATTGTCTTTATACAGCTGACATCTGTAGCCTCAAATACCATTCATAAAGCAGGCCCCTATCACAGAACAGTGCCCCCAGGCATCTGCTGCTTAATAACTGCCCTTCAGAGGGAATGGGCAATCTTCCATAGGATGGATTATGCATTTTACAGTCCTCATAGGAAACCACTCCGAAAAATAGGTACTAGAACAATTAAATCATCTCTGCTGGTGTCATCACCACTGGGTAAAACTATCAAACATGTTCTCTCTCATCCTGAACCTTTCATTCTTTGCCAAATGATGATGCAGCTTTGGCGGGAGGGGAGGACGGTGCTTCCTCTGCTTCCTGGGTGAGGTTTGCTGTTGAGGACACCCCCAGGCAGACTTCTTACAGCAGGGCTGGCTGCGTGCAGCTGCAGCATGAGGTCAGAGATGAGACCTGGATGTAGCAAAGTCATCTCTGTGCTCCCTTCCTCCCGTCTCCCTCCCACAGGCTGTATCTCACCAAGCCAAAATGTGCCAGTGCCACAACAATAAAGTGACGGGGGGATGGGGTCTCTGCTAGTCCTTCCCACCCAAGAAATCCCACTGCACCCAGGGGGAAATGGAGGTGTGGATGAGGGAGTGTTCAGAGTGCTGAGCACCAATCTTTAAGTCTCTGAAAACCTGTGCACAGAAGTGAAGTTACTTTTGCAGTACTTTTCAGAAGTTGTTTAGCTGTAACTTTTTCTGATACATGCAGAAAAGTAATATAGCAGGGCATTTCAATTCTGCCTTTCTTTTCCATTTGGCAGTTGATCTCGAGTGCCTGCACAGCCTATTAAATTCATTTTGTTATAGCTTTACTATTGACATTTGAGATTAAATGCCAGGGAATGAAAGAAAAAAAATTAGCACTATGACTTTGTGTTTCAATACAACTTTGTCAAGACCACAAGACTGTAACAACCTGCTGTAGTTTGTTATTTCAATCATTTCTTTCTTCCTAGGAAAAATACTTTTGATTAGCACATCTACTATCCCTTTATTACAACTTTTATACAAAATTTGGCTATCTAAATGCAACTGAATTTAACGGGAGCGTGACTGCTTGGCAGTGTCTCGTTTCCCATTGCAGTGCTTGCATATCCCCTCTCACCCAACAAGCTATGAAGCAGGACACCCATTTCACAGAAGCAGTGGTGAATGCTGGTGCCACCATGCTGCCCAGCTTGGCCTCAAAGTGCAATGCAGGGGAAAAGAGGGTAAGCGCGTTAAGGATGACCATGTGGAGTTCCTCTCCATCTTTAATTCAATGGCCAGTCAGTGTAGCAGTTTTAGCACAACAATCGTGACCAGATTGCAGAAGTCAACAATGACTTTAGCTGCTACAGGTTTTGGGTAGCAGCAACGTGAACACATGTAGCGTTATGTTTTGGCATGCCTCCATGAAACCAGATGTTCCTTTCCCGTGTCTCACTTTTAGAAGTGATAGAGCACACAGACATGCAGCTAAACTTTTTTTGCAGGGGGTTTCACAGCCTGGGAAAATCCTAAACTTTCAAGGGCAACGAATGGTACAAGAGGTGCTCAATGAGGTGTTTATATTAATCGTGACTGCATGCAGCCTAATAATACACTTTCTGCGCTCCTGCCTGATGGATGCTTTTTCTTGATGTCCAGTGGATATTAAGTAATTTAATGACTTGATGAGCAAGAGCAAGGTGATTGCAGAAGTACTCTCAGCCAGCTAAAACTGAGTATGCAGCTTATTTGCTGCTCTGCATTCTGTCTAAATGGGATATTTAATTACAGGCATCACATCTGGGGGGAGTTCTTAGGTTTACAATAGATGCCTGGTAATATCACCTGCAGTTTTGTTCATCTGCCCTTAACAGACGTACCTTGAATTGAGTGTTACAGCAAAGACTTTGCCCAAACAGTGCAGCTGTTTGTATCTTAGTGCATAGGAAAAGACCTTCAGGGAACAAAACTAGCCCAGGTATCTCATTGCTGAGATCCGCTAGATGGACCCGGAGCTTGCATGCGGCTTAGAGTGCAGTGCTTGCTCAGAGGCTAATGAAAGGGTTTTTGGCCAGGACCGTAGCTGT